GTATTTTAATAAACACTGCCTTTATAATTATTCAAAGTGTGTGTATACATTTTTGGGACACCTTATATTTTAAGTTTTGTGTATACTTAGTGTACATTATTTATGGATACATATCTACAGGCATATGGGCAAGGAGGAAGAGAAAATGAGGCTGGGAAGGAGGCTATGAGGGATGCCAACTTTATCTGTAATAATATTTCATTTCTTTAAAAACCTGGGACAAATTTGCAAAATGTTAACATGCAAAATGTTGACATGTATTCATCTGGAGTGGTGGGTACATGGGGTTATATTATCCTGTGCACTTTTCTGATTCCTTTTTTCAAAAGGTAAATCCAAAATAAGTAAAATTTTTAAAAGATAAGAGAATGTTCCTTTGTATTTTGTTTTGTTTTGTTTTTGCTAGAAAAGCCATCCAAAAACATATGCATCTTTACGTAGAGGGACGTGATTAGGAGGAAAACACTCCAAAAGGTTAGCTGTGGGTTTTGCCTCACGCTGGTGAGAGCTCAAGCAACATCTATTTTTATCCTCTTGCTAATATATTTTTTCTGATGTTTCTATGAGGGACATGCTGTGCTTGTTCAATAAAAACAAACAAAATGCAGAGGACCCTCTTGGTTCTCTGGGTCACGGGCTCCTCTGAGCCTCCACAGAGTCCCAGGTTCCAAAATAGATCTATGCTCTGACCGGGCAGGCTCATGCTTCACGTCCTGGAATGAGTGCCAACACCGGCTCAGAGGCGGCCGAGCTCGCCAGGCCTGGGATAGGATTGGTGTGGCTGGGGGCCCAGGCTGGTGGCACAGCAGAGGGAACATGCCCTCCACCCAGGTCCCCTCAGCTTCTAAGGCAACAGAGCCGGGACACTCCCATTATTCAGAGGGGAAACTGAGGCTAGGGTGGGTACTCCCAGGAAAGAGCAACGAGAGTTGGCAACACCAAGGGCAGCTGTGTTCGAGGCCTGTCTGCCTGAGAATGGACTGGCGCTGATAGGCTGGGTGACTTTGGACAAGTCCCAGAGTGTCTCTGGGCCAATTTCTCTGGCAGCATCAATGGAAATAGCCCCACTTTCTGCTTCACCTTTAGCTATCAGAGGGCCTGAAGGACATTTTTTATGCAAACAGATGCTAGCTCTTTCCAATAACACAGATAATATAATGGCAACCAACTATTGAGCACTTACTTACAAGCTAAATACTTAAATAGCATTTTCTCATCCTCCCCTCCTATGGCGATTATATTTTCCAACAGCACCTCCCATCTCCCATTCTTAAACCTCAGCAGTCTCCACCAACAGCTAGCCTATTCCCCCTCTCCCTGAACTTGGGTGGGACTCTCTGACTGCCTCTGCAGGCGGAATGTAGAAGAGTTGACCCTGCGTGATTCGTGAGGTTAGGTAAAAGGCCACATGCCTTCTGCCTGACTCTCCAGAGATGTTTGCCCTTGGAACACAGCCACCATGCTGTGAGGAAGCCCTGGCCACATGAAGAGGCTGGGTGTGGCTGACAGCCCCAGCCCAGGTCTTGGATATGTGAATGGATAAGCTTTTGGATGGTTCTGGGCTCCAGCCTTCAAGACTTCAAGCTGCTCCAGCTGATGCCAAATGGAGCAGAGTCAAGCTGTTCCCACTGAACCTGGCCAGAATTGCGCATTTATGAGTTAAATAGGTGTTGCCAGTGTTTTAATTCACTAAGTATTGGGGTACTTCGTTAACAGCTCTAGTAACTGAAAGAACCTCCCCCATGCCTTGCTAATGAGAAACTGTTCTCTCCATTTTAAAGATAAGGGAACCGAGTCTCACCGACTAGAGTGGAATCCAGGTTCAGTGCCAGAAGTGTGGGGCTCTTAATCGTTAGGCCTGGGTCAAAACTCACCCTTGGATCCCTTCTGATCTATCAATTGTGTTGTGACTCTGGGTTTGAGGCGGTGGAAAATGGAGGTGGGGAACAGTTGACAGACTGTTGTCTGGGTGGAAGGTTTCATGGGGACACAATGATTCTTGCTCCACAGACTCACCCCTCAACCTCTAGGGGACACTGACAGATCATCCCCAGGGATGTAAGTAGTCCCAGGGCTTCCTGCCAGGACCTCACCACATTGCCATCAGTGGCCCCAAGAGATGCCCAGGTCATGTCCTCAGGGGCGTGAACAGTACAGTGCAAGAGGCTTTGGGTGTGTTTTAAGCTGCCAGGTTGCAAGCCTTATTTATTACCCTGGGTGTTGACATGCAGGGAGCTGAAAGGCAGGGAGGGAGGGGGGCACTGGGTTCTGGAGATGCGGCCCTCTTCTTTGGATCCAAATACTTGAGGAGCCTCAAATCAGCAAGTGGCCCTCCAGGAATGATTTGTTTTCCCTGCCTTTGTTCCCAGGAACAGAAAGATCAGATCTTCCAGGAAAACAGATTCCAGTGTGTTGCCTCCCTCTCTGGGTATGTTTTCTCATGAGCTAAGTGCGTGAGGTGAGGATCCCTGGCATCCCTGGTTATGCCGAGGCTCTGCTGGATCAGAGTGGGAAGCCAGTTCACTAGGTGAGAGGCCAGGGTGGGGGAGCAGGTGAGCAGGTGTTTTATGCCCACTAATACCCATCTCCCTTCTGGTCACTCTACCCTTCCCTCAGTCCCTTTGGGTCCCATGAGGCTGACTCTACTCTGGCCCCCAGGTTTCTGCCTTGTGCCTGGCGAAGGTTGTGCAATGACCAGTGCTGGAAGAATCCAGGAATAGCTTGATGGGGCAGAGTAGGGGAGTAAGAAATGGGGAACTGTGTTTGAGACCTTGAAGGTCATGTCTAGAAGGCAGAGATGGCCCTGGGTCTGGAGCTCAGAAATGGGGCCGGGACCATTAGTTCACACACAGACCATGCTGATTACCAAAGACCCTTCCAGGTCCAAGGTGGAATGTTGCCTTGGGGCATTGGCACATGGGCTCCCTGAGCTTGCCAACTGACCCCAGCTGGTGTCTTTCCAGTTCTGTCTCTGGGTCCTGCCACCAGTTCCTCATACCTGCTACCACCTTGACACATGCTGCTTCTGGTGGTAATGGCTGGTTCCAATTTCCTTGAAAGCTGTGAGGTCATTCTGTATAGCTTCTGTCTCCAGGCCAGACTTATGCCCAAACCCCCTTGGACACTGACCTGGAGGCCTGTGTTTAAAGGTCCTCATAAACTTGACAGTTTATGAACTTTCTCTAGAGCTTGCTCGCCTCTGCGAGATCTCCAGGAGAAGTGGATAGAGCCTGCTTACTCTCTCCAGTTGAGGAGAAGAAGGAAACTGTGGCCCAAAGCAGTCAGTAATCTGTCCAAGGCCACCAAGGTCTTTGTCAGCCAGGCTTGCCCTGTTAGTGTAGCCCATAGAGGCTCCGTCAGGCACTGCGGTAAACCCTCAGCCTGTATGAACACACTTCCCTGCAAGGTCAGAGGCGGTCCGACCCCTGACAGTTGAAGCGGAGGTGAGACCAGGGCCCCAGCACACAGGAAGCTCAGCGAACGCTGATGCCCGATAACCAGCTGCCTTTCCTTTTCCTGCCCAAGCCCCACACACCTGGTTGAATGTTCTCAGGCCCCCGGATGAGCCCACAGTTCGCCACTGTCCCAAGCAGCCTGCCCTGTTCAAAACTCCAACAGGATTTGGGAAAACAAAGGGAAGAAAACAATGCCCAGCAGCCGGATCTGCCCCCGCTCCGGGGGGCGGGAAAAAGCAGAGAGAGCCAGAAGGCAGCCCACCCAGGACAGCCCCAACCCAGCCCTGCCCAGCAATCCCCTCGCCAAATCCTTGCCCTCATCCGGTTAACACTCCAGTGGGTTGGGGGAGGAGAGATAGATATAACTATGACACGGAGAACAATTTAAAATAATTATGTGTGCTCTCCCGGCCCCAGCACTGCCTTAACTCGCTTAATTTTCACACCCTGTGAAATGGATGGTACTTTCCTTAGTTTACCAAGAGGAAACAGAAGCAAAGAGAGGTTAAGTGACTTGCCCAAAGTCGAACAGCTGGTAAGTCGAGGAGCCAGGATCTGAAGCAGTAAACAGGTAAACGAGTTATCAAAAATCCCTCAGTCCCCTGCTGAGGACTCATACATTCCTCGCGCAGGAGATGGGTTTTCTCAGCTGCTGGATCGGGATTCGGAAGCCCGGAGACGTGAAGCTGCCCATCCCAGGTCTCAGGGCCGGCAGCTGGGGAACAGGCTTTAGAGCCAGCTGCTCTGACTCCAGGGCTGCATCCCAAGCTCTTCTCCTGACCACCTGCCTGCCCCTCCAGCCAAAGGCAGCCCCAGAGCAGTCTGCCCCAGAACAGCAAACCTGTCAGTACTGACTGTCACAGGAACTGAGCCAGGGCCACCTCAGGGCACAGCATCCCTTGAGGCCCCGAGGGAGCCAGCTCCACTTCCCTGGCCTTGCGAGGATTTTCTGTCCCCTGAAGCAGGTTGGACTGACTGCGTCCTCCCCAGCCTCACCCCTCTGCCCCCCCTTTGCTCTCTCCCAGGTCGTTCCTTGTGTTCCAAGTGCTAACATGGAACTAGAGCGGGACGTGCTGGGCGGGCTGGGGGCCGAAGGGAAGGCATGGGTGCTGAAATTTGAGATCCTAGCCCTCGTGGGAGGAGGCTGGAAAGGAAGAGACCCGAAGAGAAAGCTCAGTTGTGTTTGATTTTCTGAAGCCGGCAGCCTTGGGGGTTTGGTGTTTGCGTGTGAGCCTGTGCGTGTGAGTCTGTGAGTGTGTGCGCACGTGTCTGTGTGTTGTCTTCTTTCCTGAGCTCTCACAGGGAGGCCAGGCCCCCACTGGATAATCAAGGGGCTCCGGGCCCGAGGCAGAGCCAGGCCGTCCACAGACGGGGTAGCAAGAGGGCAAGTGAGGAGGAAGGAAGGGAAAGGGGGCCGATGAGGAGCGAGGGAGCCTGGGAGGGAGCCGGCGCGTGGGAGGGGCCAGCCCTGTGGCATTCGGAGTATAAATAGCTGTCTGGGTGGAGCTTGGCCAAACAGGGGTTTGCAGCTGCAGCGGCTCTGCCGGCAGACCTGTCCACTGTTGGCCACAGTGGGCACATCCTGGGCTCGGAGCGGGGCCCTGGGGGCTCTGACCAGACACCCCTCACCATCACCACATCTTTGGATGTTCTCCTGGCCAGCCATGCTGTTGGGTGGCCTCCTCCTCACTGTGGCCACCATGACTGCGGCCTATCGGAGGGGGCAGGAGATGGGAGGCCGCCGCCTGACACACCGAGTCCAGAATGGCCAGTGCAGCTACACCTTCATTCTGCCTGAGCCTGAGTCCTGCCCTCGAGGGCCTGAGGCCTTCAGGGGCTCCAACAGCCTCCAGAGGGACTCGTCAGCCACCGTACTGAACCTAGGCGCCTGGCCTGCCCAGCAGATGAGACACCTGGAGAAGGTGCTGGAGAACAACACGCAGCGGCTGCAGAAGGTACGGCTGGGCCCGCAGCGGGTGTGGTGGGCAGCGATTGGCAGCTGGAGCATCCACCCCAGAGGCCTCCCCGGGCACAGAAGGCCAGGCTGATGGGACGCTTGTCTCTGAAGTGTATAGATTGAGATAATGAGGCTTAGAGAGGGGCAAGAATAAGCCGAGGGCCACACAGCAACATTGG